TGCACAAGATAAAACAATGAGACGCAAAGTAACAATGCTTCTTTTTCACCCTTCCATCGTTAACACCCAGTTTGTTTACATTTAGACTTGGGTTGTTGCAGGCTTAGGCTTTGACATTACTTTCACTACTCAAATACTTGGTCAAATGTATGATGTACCTAAATAAAACTGTCAATCTTCATTCATTGTATAAGATAACGACTGAGCAAGCAAAGGGAAAAGTAAGAACATATTTCCTTATAATTACAATGTGTTTTAGATCTCGAGTAATTTTTCCATTGTTTCTGAGTTACAAAATCATGATCAACAAGTATCCAGAAATTCACAATGTCACTATTTCTTTTTTACATACTATTTTTCATCTCCCAATTATATTTTTAAACATTTTTCCAATGCGGCATGAGTATTTAGTCGAATGTTATTAAACAAATTAGTCTATTGATAGTTTGAAATATGTGTAGGTATAGAAAACGAATACCAAAACTCTGCGTTAATAATGCATTTTGTATAGGTTTGTCTAATTAAAAAATAACAAAAAAAGAAGACAAAAATCGCCAAAAGCAATTTAGCTACCAGTGAATAAAAATGAGTTTAATTTAACACCAACAACCATTCCATTTTTATAATTAGCAAGTCCGTACAATAAGGATTATTTTTTCATCCAAGCATTAAGTATTGACCCAGTAACATTTTCCCCAGCAAAACGCTTCGTTTATGCTATTCAAATTTTATTTATTCATTCATTATTCACAGTATATCAAATTTCCAATGACAACGGGCAGCTGGGTCTAATTACTAACCGTATATTGCATCAGTTTGTTTAGTTAAAATACGTATCAATGCAAAAAACTGTGTTTATATGCAAAACTTACTCAACGCGCATTGCAATATCTAAAATCGATAGTGTACCTACTGCTTTCAACACCAATGATGCTACAAAATTTACAACACGTTGTAACATGATGAGGTAATCAGCTGTTAACGAATTCATATGAAACGGAGGTCTGGTTTGAGGGAACATAAAAATGAGCATCTGCCTACCAAACATTAACATAACCAGTCGGCGATCTGCAAGAAGAGGGTCAGAAGCAGCTGGTTACTAGGATACAGAGGTCATCAGTGACGATACTTGATTTGGAAATGTTAGAAGGAGACGATATGGTTAAACCCTTCATGATGTCATAGGCGATCTTCAAGACACAATTAAAATACCTTATCACATTTTTTTCCCTTACTGGCTAGCAAGTAAGTCCTTTACCTTCCAGAAACAAGCTTAGTTAGGTTGTATATTTTACTTAGCTACAGGGTTTTAAAGGTTTACCATAAGTTGGTAGCCTATGTCAATGTAGTTTTCAAAGATAAGCCAACATTATGTCTGACTCTTTTGTTCCATAACATCTAAGCACTCTAGTTCACAAGAGACTAGGCATCAATGATTCATGCTGCCATTATCATATTACAACTGACTGATACCACAACCTAGCTTTCAACTCTCTAAAAGGTCATATTCAAATGTTGATTTGACTATGTTTCCTGACCTCTGAAAACTTCAGTTTAGATTTAGTATACCAGTTGCTACACCATCTTCAACCTAAATACCAGGGGTCAAATTTGATTATAATAATAAAAGAGCTTAAACGATCTGCAAAAAACATTGGTACCGGTAGTCATAAAAAAAGTTAACACTCTCATCCAAGTTGTTGGTAATAGTTACACGGTAAGGTACCTCCCGATTGCTATTCATTCTAGCCTAGTTCATTTAAATAACATGAACTTAAAATACATTTTTTTATTATTATTCAGAACAGAATAAGAATCAATAGTAACATCTAAATTCAACCTAAAACAAACTAAACATTATTCTCTCCTAAAAATATTCACAAATATTCAAATAATCAGTAAAATATGTATAAGTAATTGGATTTGTTAATGCTTGTAATACACTTATACGCAAGTGGCTTTGTTTAGTGGCTTTGTTTATTATTCGCTGAAACATACTTATTTTTAGAATGGTCTCAGTTTTTGTGTTAAGTCCCAAAAGATTCTAATGTTACAGTTGTCATAAGCAGTTCGACTCCAACTTAAATAGATATGCATATGCGCATATAATTTTCATAAAATCCATAACTATTTATACAATAAAAAAATACCATTTACCATGACCAATCAACCACCAAGATAAATTGCAGCTATTTCAGCATATTTCAGTAATCACTCCAGAACATATGGTGTAGTGTGTTAGACAAGCTAATCAGCTGATAGTAAAAACAGCTGACTGTAGAGATGTCTACCATGCATAGAGACAGCTGACGCGATGAAACCTAGGAAATTATGTTTTATCATACAATCGTAACTTAGTATTCCACGTGTGGAACTGTGTCTACCGTTCATAATTCTCCACTGAACTATATAATCAAGCATTTAAAATTGATTGCAAAATTAAAAAATAATTATCTGTCATATAAATTTACTTGGTAGATTTTAGTTAGCAAAATATTGACTTTTAAATACTGAATTACACATCCCATTTAAATGGACCAGCTGTGGCTATTCTTTTTTTTAGAATAAAGTTGATTGAGTCCCTCAAGAATGTACCACTGTCTAAATTCAGTTTTCTGTCTTATACTTTACAGATTAATATGACATAAAATTTTCCGTTGTCAGTAAATAATAATGTGAGTCAGTTTGGTTCAGTAAGAAGTTGGCGTATTCAACCAACATCTGTCATTTACATCAGCACTCTTCAGTCAAACTATGTTGATTTTATTTTACTTGCTACAACTTATAAATGCCTTTAAGATGGTGTGTCTAGTTCAGTCTATAGCCAAAGCCAATACAGTATCTTAGACACATACAATTGTTTTACTTTATTAAATCACTCATTTAGTACATAATCTTGGTTAAATTGTCGATAAACCTCATTAAACAAGTAGCCATCACAGAAATTCATCTTTGTTTATCTCATAACAAAACAAAGAAAGGCATTTGATTACTTTGATGAGTTTTTGTATTGACAATGCTAATTAAAAGGCTGTACCAACACTGTACCTAGTTTTGTAACACATTTTTTTCAGCAACCCGAAAATTCATTAAATTTGGATTTGGGTTCATCCATTGATGTAAGGTGTTGGTAATCAAAAGACTGAACTTGTTGATACCTTTGTATCTAAAGGACATAAATGTTTTAAAGACATGTTTTGGGTTCATTAATCTTGAAATAGGCAGTTAATTAAAAGGCTATGAACACCGTTTGTTACCTTTTTTGTCAAAAGGACAGTAAAACATTTTAAAGCCACTTACGGAGTTGAGGGCAAGAGGAAATGGGAGATGTAAACGTAAAAGAAACTAAGTCGTAACCTAGGATTACTCAATGCAACTATATATTTTCACTTATATACTTTGTTCTTTTGAGAGAAGTATCTAGACCATAATTTAAAATTCTACAAACTATCCTTGTGCAATAAATGAAAAAATGGGAGAATTTAATTTTGGCTCATAAGATTTCAAAACATTCTATAAAAAATATCAGCCTTCTTTAACATTGAATGGTTTTTCGCTGTTTGTTTCAATCTAACTAAAGCTCATGTACAGAGAATTTTTTTAGCTTGTTTGGAGATTCCCAAAAAGGTTTAAAAAAAAAAAACTCAAAACATACAGGCCATAAATACTGTACTCGTAACATAAATAATTGAATTACCGGTACTCAAAAGAATTTGCTTAGTAAGCTTTCTAGGCAGATTGACTAAATAGTAGACACTTGAAATGGGCATAACTTATTTCTTTACAGTGAACCCATTCCAACAATACTTAAAAGGGTCTACTGTGAGATTTTCAAACAAAAAAAATATCGGATGCTTTTTTAACAGCTGCCACTCGGCTGTTTAGTGTAAAAATTTTGATCGTTGCAATAAACAACAACTCATATTATGTCATGTTATTAATCATAGATTTTTTAACACTAAGACATCATGCCTTTTGAGTTACCGGTAAAGCATATTTGAAAAATAACCGGTATGTGACGTTACCCAACAGTTGTTACAAAATAATTTCTATATCTGTTGCCATGGTGCGGTTCCCGTCTACGAATTTGAAATTTTGAAGTAAGTGTTTGAATTTAAGAATTGAGGGATCCACTCTCAACAATAAGCCTCCTGGGAGTCAAAGTACAGAGGGGCTCATCCCAAGAGTGTGAGAATCTCCTAAGTACAAAAAGATCGATCAGCAAAAAAATTATGTTGCTTTAACCGGATCTATCTGCATGTGACTTCTTTATTTATTGAAATATTTTTGTAAAAATTTCTGAAGTTAAAATTCGCTTAGTCTGCAGGTTTGCTGCAGCGGGGGTATTTGAAAGTTGCCATTGTTTTATGTTATTTATGTTGACGTGAGTTGTTTTGAAAAACATATGTCGTAATATGAAAAACACTCAAGAATAAAGAGGAGTTTCATTTCATTTCATGAAAACATTGTTTCCTCTATGATGCCTTTTAAAGATGCACCGGTACTTATGTAGCCTACCAACATTTTATGTTACACATCACCGGTACTTATGTACCAACATTTTATGTTACTCATCTTTCTTTGAGTTGATGGACTCTGGGTTCGATCATTACTTTCTTTTCATACACTATTGTTGAGAATTAGTGTGTTTTCAGGGGTTTTAGACGACTCAATACATGTAAGCTGTAGGTCAAACTTTATTTCAATAAACCTATCTGCTGCCTCCTTTGAAATATTAATTCATTAAGCTCCCTTCCTATGCTGACCACTTATAAGGAAGGGGCTTCAAATCTAAACTTCCAACTATTATAAGGCAAGTGATCATAAAGTTTAAATGTACCTAGTCCTTTTTTCAGAAGAAATTAAATATTTACTAGTAAACATCATATAAATTTTATGATAGGCCTACCCTCTAAGTATTCAAAACATTTTTAATCGTTGTTCCTGCCTATAGTACCTACAAAAACAAATGTGTTGTATATTAAATATAAAAGACTCACCGATTTTGAGTGTGAAGCAGACGGCTTGGACGTAGACTTCATCGTAGCCAAAGTATCTCGTAGTTTGCATCATCACACTCCCCCAGCTGGAAAATTATTTTTTTATATGAATTATAGCAATTGTTATGGTTATTTACTGTCTACCTATGAGACATGGAGAGAAAGGCACTTATGATTAAATACTGACATGGAAAGAAACTTAAGTAACTTACTGACATGGATATGTGAACTTTCCTAAAACGACGATTGTCTGCAGGTCTGGTGTGCAATTCATGGTTTTTCACCTGGCTGTGGTAGAGCTTTGTAGGAAAGGCCCACCAAGAATAAATGTAGAGAGCTCAGGTGGAAGTTGATTAGAAAAATGAATTTGTTGCGATTTGCAAGGTTGCAAGTTATATCAGGTATTAATGATTTTTTACATCCTGTCTGTACCTGTACTTGTAAGACATTTTTTTAACCTATAGGCCTAAATATTTTATAAGATTTTCAAAAACTTTTATATTTTTATGAGAGAAAAATATGTAAATGAGGTATTTTTAAATCATTGAACAATCCATGGAGTTCAAAGGGTTCATGGAAGCAGAAACATTCCAAACCATAGGTACATACTGTAGTGTCAGTTATGATGCAAACAGTTTTTGTAACCTGAGCCAATTATAACATTCCAATGGTTACAAGGTTGTACTAACTACTCTAACATACAACGATACAGCCGAAGAAATTCCAAAAGTGAATTCAAATCAGGTAGAAGAATCACAACTCAGTGATCAAAAACTAAAATTATTAACATTGAAAAAGGTAGATTACAAGAGGAAAACTTCCAAATATGTTCAAAAGAAATAAAATCTATAACATTTAATGAAAAAATTAAATACTTAGGAGTAAATTTTTCTGAAAGCATAGTATTTGACTCTGAAAAAACAATTAGTTCATTGATAAACAAAATTGAAAAATTAACATGTTCTCCTTTTTTAAGGTCTGAACAAAAAATGTATGTATTGAATCATAATATTTGGCCATCTTTAATATATCCTTTTCAAACCGCACCAATTAAGAAAATTACAATGAAATTCTTTGACGATGTCGATAAAGTGATAAGATCAACAACAAAGGAAATCTTAGATCTTCCAAATGATATGCCAAATTCTATGTTTTATACAAGTACTAAAAACAAAGGGATTGGGTTATGTAAATCAATGTGGGAATCATCTATCCAACATATAAACATATGTCGCGTATTAAAACAAACGGGAAACCCCCACTTACTTAATATTCGTCAATTTGACGAAGAAATTAGGTTTTGTCTGGAAAAATTGAATTTAAGTATTGAATTTATCGAATCAAAACCCAAGATACTGCGAGAAACCTTACGAGACTTAGAGTATCAAAATTGGTGTAAACTTCCATACAAAGGGAATGGGGTGGTTCTTTTCAAAGAATGTAACAAGATCAATAAAAATTTGGCTAGAGGTTGTGGCCTCACAGAAGCTGAGTTCAAACAATACTTGAAAATGGTCGGAGACGTTATTCCTCTTAGAAGTCTTCATGGGAGATCCAGGGACGGGAACCAGTGCAGGCATTGTCCTGTATCTGAGAAATTTACTCTTGAAACTCTTGCCCACGTCCTTGGAAAGTGCCCATTTAGTAGTCTTCTACGAAATACCCGCCACCATACCATCAGAAAAATCGTAGCTGATCAATTCAGAAAGAAAAGTTACGAGGTCTATGAAGAGGTCACGGCTATAGAAGAAGAGGGCTCTGTGAGGCGGAGTGACATCATTGTTATAGACAAGGAGAAAGATTTCGGTCTCATTATAGACCCAACAGTTCGTCTTGAGACAAATGAAAATCAGCCACAGGAAGTCCACGAAGAAAAAGTTAATATTTATAAGAAAACTATCCCATATTATTCAGAGAAATATAAAATATCAAAATTCAAAGTATATGGACTACTCATTGGATCAAGAGGAACAATTCCTCAACAAGTTGAGAAATTTTGGAAGAAATTCAAGGTAGAAAATCAAGTGCTATATCTAATATCTTTAACAGCCATAAAATTTTCTATTAATATTATAAGAAACCACCTGTATAACAATTATCATAATTAGGTTTAAACAAACTTGCAAAATTTAATGTAATATTATTCTTTGTTCTACAGCAGACTACAATGTGTAGTAAGATTTCAATTTTTTAAATAAATTTGAATTTATATAGATTAGGCAGTAGATTAAAAGTTAATCCTAATTAATACCGTAGGTACCTTTTAAGAGTATATATTTTCACAAATGAACAAAATTGTTAACTAAATTTTTCGCAGTTGTATATAGGCTAAGTTATTCATCTCTTATAGAAAATAAGCAAGCCTACTGTATGTTTATTTAAAATAAAATGTATGTCAATTTTGTAAGATTCAACCATCATAAGCTAGTCTTAGCATTATTATATAGGTACCTAATGTATTTTTGTTTTCTATACAGACAAACCTTCATCTTAAGGTAGAAGCAAAGAGTTATCACCTCGCTAAACATAATTTTTCAGGCGGGATTTAGACATCCTTATGAATAGCCTAATATGTGAAGGAGATTTCTACAAAACACTACCTACTCCTCCGTTAATAATGTATAGATTTTTACAAACGATGGGTCAAAATTAAGTATTTTTTGTATAGACCTTTCACTAATTCCTGGCTTTTTGAGAGTGAAAAGGCCTACGATACCGGTACTCTAAATACATAGGCCTAGGTTGTTCTAGCCTGGGGACAACCTATTTTCTGAATATTCTGGCTACCGGTATCTACATTTATAGGAGGATCTTCGATCTTCACCATACCAGTAAGCTACTATTCAAAGTAATATTAATTATAAGTTCTAAGTTAACACCCTGGGTATGCTTATATTAAAGGTAACTTATGTACCGTACCGTACTATCAACATGTTAATTAAGTTAGGCTAGCATTAAATTCAATATTATAAATAGGTTTGTATTTTGCCAAGTAAATTATTTGCTTAAAATTAAAATGTAAATAGGGCTAGTTCATTAATACTTGACTTAAAAATATGATTCACCTTCATAAAAAATCAAAATGGCAAAATCAACTGTTTGCACTTCAGTTCTACATTTCTATTTAACTTTACTGGCCCAGATAAACTAACTTGGTTAGAAAATTTCAGCTCGGAACCCCACTTATCTTAACTGCAGAAAGTTATTAGGCTATCTTTTAACACCTTTGTGGAAAGTTTTTTGACAAAAAACCAAGTATCGAAATCTTTTGTGATTTAGTCTGCTGCAGTTTGCCAGTTTGTTGTGTTCAAGGTCCAATAATTGAATCTTGTGAAACTTAACTTACAGTTGATACAGAGCTATTCATACTATTTTATAAAATTAGATGTGAACAATTATTGTGAAATTGCAAATAGCGGTTGATAAAACAACTTTTATATCACAAACGTTGCTATTTTAAGGACAATCTAGTTTGACAAACTATTTTAGGTTAGGTTTGACTTCTAAACTACTTTTACTCACTTTAAAGTTGTTGCTCCATCACACAGGTCATCTGAACACACTTCAAACTATTTTAGCACACAATTATTCACTTTAATTCTTCTTAATTCGCATAATAATCAACAAAATGAGAAATCGAACCACACAGAATGCACAACAACAACAACCGCACACAACTTCCGACTCACGACTGCAGCAGACAACCCGCACAGCGGGCGTCGATCATGCGCAGTACAACGAAACCCAAACATATGACTTACAGCTGTTTGTCAGTACAAGACAAAGAAAATCATTGTTATGAACAATGATTTATTAGAGGAGTTTTTCTAGTGGGGTTTTGGTTCAATAGTACGGTAACGATTGCAATAAATCAATCCTATGAGCTCTTCAAAATATATCAATTTTACAGACTAACGTTTCTCTCAAATGTATAATACAATAAATATATCTAAATGTTAAAACTGTAACAAAATCTGAAATTACTAAATAAATAACGGGTAAAAATTACAATCTGAACGTAAATGAATGGAAGTCTGCAGCAAAATGGTCTAGACCTAGTCTTTGTACAGAATGAAAGGGTACAGTTTCTTAACTGGGCCTGGGCTATGCTAATATCGATTGAAACTATCGAATTGGAAATATTGATTTATAATCGATATTTTTAAATATATCTATTATAAAATTAAACTATCATAACCTAACCTAACCAACCAAACTTGCTGATGGTGAAAAAATCGCATGAAGGTTTACTAATCGAATCGATAGTTTCAATCGATATTAGCATAGCCCAGTTAAGAAACTGTACCCGCATGGAAAAAAAACTAATATTATATTTATGTGTAACAACTATACTGGACAGCGAAGTAACCCAAATAGAACTTACATAAGGCAATAAAAATAATAATTTAAGTCGTTCCATCATGAGAACCAGCAATACTCTTCCTGAGATATGCCATACAGTAGACCACTGAAAAAGTAGTAGCTTCACATATTTCTAAGCTACCAATCGGAACAGCTACATACTAAGTTTTCCTCAGAAGATAAAACATGCGCTAAGTTCAAAGTGCATAAGAATCCCCATTTGGAGCTCAAATTCATCAGGAGGAGAGTACCTTTATGATTTCTTCAATAAATCATTCAAACATTCCAGGAAAACACCATTGGTGAAGGTGTGTCTTCTGACTAAGAAATGAAACCCTATGCTGAAGCACGGCCACCTCTAACAACAGGCCGCGGCCTGGTAGAATTGGCAACGTTGCAAGTGGTGTTGTCTAGCTCCAGACGTCCCATAAGATAACATGGCAGAAAAGTGACACCAGGGGCCCATTTCATAATAAAGTACAAACTAATATTATTAGTAAATCAGCTGATCGCCCAATGCAAATCTAATGGAAAATACAAGTTACAAGTTGTAACTTGTAACTTGTAGTTTATTATGAAATGGGCCCCAGCTCATTATTTATTTAATGTATTATTCATTTAAATAAAAATTTATGAACATAAATTTATTGAAAGATTGAAAATAAAACCTATAGAATTGAAAACAAAAACAATATTTAAATAGAAAATCAATTTATGTACTTTTAAAGTGCAGTCAATATATTGTCATAGGCCAGTAACCAAGCTTTCGTAAATACACAAATACCATTAGCTGCTTCCAAACAAAACAGCTGTTACAACACCACTTGCGACGTTGCCACTTCGAAGGCCGCGGCCTGGAGTTAAAGGTGGCCGTGGCTGAAGCCACCCAACAAAATCGAGGCTGTGTATTATTTTTTTTTTAGAGAAAAACATCAACCAAACGGCAGTGGAAAAACATCAAGTATTTCAAAGGAAAAGAAACTTAAAGTAGGTACTTCATCAGAATGTTGACAGAGACAGAATAAATAACAAGATCGACAAAATTAACCATCGTCTCTGCATTTTACGGCCTGATATTTTGGTAGTGACGCAACGGACTAACCAGGGAGAATTTGTCAAACACCTGTCTTCAAAACTTCACCCTTATTGCCTCATATAGTAGAGAGTATAATTTAAAAGGAGGGGTTGCAATCTATTTCAAGAACAATTTAGACTTGGAGGTTTTTAGTTTAAATCTTGGGTTGACGATTTTGCCTCTTGTTTGTGAGTTTTCTGCTATAAGGGTTTTTGGCCTAATAGCACACGGCATGTCTTCATATTCTAGGAGTCTACATGCCCCCGAGTAACAGTGTGGAGAAAAAACCTCTGAAGCATTTAAAACCTAAAACCTTAGCTGAGGTTCTTGCATCATTGTTTAAGAAAAGTAACCCGACGATATTGGTAGTTGATATAAACATTGACCTCATGGCTTCCAAGCAAAAAACTGAGCTTAAAGAGTTATTAATTGAATATGACATGACTAGAATCTTTCTTCCTCCCACGAGAATCTCTCCGACTCCGACGACTTCATCTAATTCCATAGACACTGCTGTGTGTACAACTGATGGACTTCTCGCTGACGTGGCTGTTCAAGTGATCAATACTGGTATCTCCGACCACACAGGCCAGGTGTGTGAGATTAATTTAAATGCAAAACTGCATCTTTTTGCCGTCACCTTTTTTTTAAATTCAGATAAATTTGCAAATCTTAAACTCGTTTACAGGAAGAGACTTGGGAAATGGTCTACAGGCCATCCGATCCAATCCCAACCTAAGACAATCGCAACACAACCACAATACCAGAAGTAAAATACATAGACATACCACAACACAGACTAAAAAACAAACCCACCCACATACTCTGGATCAATGTTCTATAATCAATTACCCCGACATATATAATCAAACACACCCATCAATTAAAAATAATACCCCCGCCGCAGCAACCCTGCTGACTAAGCGAATTTCCATTTGTCTGAATTGATTTTCAATTAAATATATTTAAATAACATTAAGTTTAATGAGTACCTAGGTTTGCTGCTACAAGGAAACTAATAAAGTGTATTTTTTAGTAAAATATAAAATAGCATAGTATAAAATAAATAAATTTGCCAAGTTTACTCAAATTATAAACAAGCAAATTACAACATTTTACAATATTCTCTACAAGAATAACATGGAAATTTTAAATTTAAAACTTTTTAAATTTCTCCGTTACCAATAACCGTAGAAAAACACTTTGATATACAAAATTATTTGTTTTTTTTAGCTCTTTAAAAAGATTTAGAGAGAAATTGGAAAATGTTGTGTTTTGAGGGTCAAAAATGAGAAAAACCCCTTTTTACCCCATAAACCAGCCGTAAAACCCTATTCCCATGGTCCGATCATGCTGGTTCGCGAACTCATTCAAGTTTATCCCGCCTTACATCTTTAAACCAAATTTCATCCAAATCGGACAAAAATTACTCAAGTTGTCGCGTTCACGGACGTATATATATATATATATATATATATATATATATATATACATATATAACAGTTTTAAAGAATGGTGTTTTTGGCCTCTGGGGACGTCAAAATGAAAAAGTAAATCGGTCCCGGGCCTAGGTCTTACCGCGCCACCTACGGTAATAGCTACTTCCCTATGGGGAATTCATAGAGGAGCACACATACACAACCCATGTAGCACAGATGGTTGGGCCAACGTTGGTAAATTGTAGAGCCACACAGTTGGCCAACGGTAGAAATGTCACCTCTTTAAACTGTTTTCCAGCCAACCATTGTCCAACCGTTTTATTTCACACAAAATAATAAAGATTTAGTACGAAAAGCATAATTATTAGTTGAGTAAATTGATTAAATAGTTCATAAAAACAAATTTTGAAAAAAAAACTAGAACAAAATTTTTTGGCCCAGACTGGTCTCGAACCCGGGTCCTTCGACTTATGAGCCTCTTACTTTACCACTGAGCTATCTGTGATTGCTGATATAAAGAGTTTTCAAGTGGTGAAAGAGTAGCCGACAGTTGCAATGGTCGCAATACTTCAAACATTTTTGATACTACACAGTATAATATGATTCTGTTAATCTGTTAAGGCATCATAAGTAGTTTTTTTTGGAGTTAGAGAGGATACTGGTATTTAAATGATTAATTAATTACCGTTAGATTGTTAATGCTATTATAATTGCCTGTTATATGATTAATTACTCTTTCCCCTTAAATTGTTGCAAATAAGTTAAAGAATATTAATTTAAAAAATATTTGCATTATTAAAATTATTAAAATTCATTGTTGTAGCGCCGGAACTGTAATATATAAAATATCTGGTTTTACAATACCTTTATCAGTTCCAAAAACTTTTGGAAACTTTTGGAACTGATAAAGGTATTGTAAAACCAGATATTTTATTATAATTATGTTGTGAAAGCTAGACCCAGAGAATGAAAGTCGTGTAAACTCAACTATGGACCATTGTTGGTCCAACAAAAGTATCTTTTGTTGGTCCAACGGAGTGAAAAACGGTTGGACAACGGTTGGCTTGATGTATGATACCCAGCAATGCATATTAATGTATTTCATTAACAATGAACCAATGTTGGTCCACAGTTGTAAATATTGGTTGGCCCAACTACGAGATATACAGTTGGACAACGGTTGGTTGGTTGTGGAAGCTCCAACCAACCATCGACCAACTGTCCCACAGTTGGCCAACGTTGGCCCAACCATCTGTGCTACATGGGAAAACATAAAACATAAATACACGAAACCTGAAACACAGAAAACCCCATAAAATATAAAATGAAGATAGTTGATGACTCCCCGATCAAACGATTGTGGCGAAGACACCGAGAAGTAAATAAGACCTTGAGAGGTAGAAGGTTACTTACAAAAACTTCATTAGCACTAATGCTGAACATGACTTGTCCTCTGAGACAATCTCGAAACAGGAATGGAAGAAGACGTTTTCACTGTTATGATGAAGAAGTGAACCGTATGAGAGCACAATTTATAGCCGCTCAGGAACACGGCCACTTTACAGGAATCCATTATCAGTGTAAAAAAGAAGTCAAAGTGTCATAAATCTTTTTTCAGCTTTACTCACCTGAAATAGTTAAGAAGAAAAGAAAGGTGAATTCTGAGTTTATCAAATACTCTGATAATAACAGAAAAGCCATCTGGAGGACAATAAACTCAGAAAGAACTCAGAAAAAAGTGGGCAGTGGCAACCAAAAACTGTGGATCGACGGAAAACTAGTCACTGACTCCAAAGTTCTCGCTGATAATTTCAACAAGTACTTTTCTTCTGTTTCAGAAAAAAACACCTTCAAGAAACTCAGACAGTACGGTTATAGTAAAACGTGGGGGTTGCTCCCCCTAACATTTCCTCTCCCATGAACATTGAACACCTTACATCTAACTGACATCCATAAACTACATGAGAATACGTAAGCTAAAACCATAGACTAACCAACACAAGGAGTACCTAAGGGAGTATGTTTTATCTATGCTAAAACCCAAACCTTCTGCTGGACTTGATGAGATATTTTCGATAATTACTGTGTTCTGAGGAACTAACGCCTCCCTTGGTGTATATTACCAGATATTACAAATCTCTCCTTTGAGCACGGTCAATTTCCAAGCAAACTAAAATTGTCAAAAGTAGTACCACTACACAAGAAGGGATCAAAAGTCAAAAGGGGACGTTGGAAATTTGAGACCCATTCCGCTCGTATCAGCATTTTTAAAAGTTATTGAGAAGATACGAAGATGGTCTACGTCATAATCAATGGCTAAGTATTTTTATAAACATCAAGGCATCATGTTTTAATTATCATCAATTTTGTACTAAAAGAAAAGAGGAGGGAAGATACAAAACAAAAAAAGAATTAGGTGATTAGGTGGTAAACTAAAAACTAAACAAACAAAACAAACACGTCGACGTCATATAACAAGACAAGAACTAGAGAACAAGGGATTGGAAATATTAACCTGATAAGTGATAACTAACCGATAAATCTCAATATTAATTTACTGTAGTTATGTAATTCTGGTTTTCTGATTTTTACTCGCCAAGATTATTTATGTAGGCTAGACTAACAGTAGGCCTACTGTATTGAATAATTATTATAGGGTTAAGGTAACCCATTGAAATAGGAAATCAGTCTTGTCTTGCTTTTGGGGTAAGTAGGCTCGGCGATAAGTTTATTTTGTCCTAAGTTAATTGTTAGCTAACTTAAGTCTTGGCTTTGAAACTTGTTTTCTGTCAGCCATTTATTCATCCGCTTCAGTAGTGCAAATTACGGACATTGAACCAGTAGGCCTAGGCCTACAGTAATATCGATATTAAGTTTAGTATCAATAGGCCCTAGTCATATCAGCCTTTGAACATCGATGTCAAAAAAATATCTAAGTCATACATAATATCGATAAATATCGGAGAAATACATCTATATTTAGGGTAGTATAACAAAATGATAACTTAGTAGGCTAAAAAATAAAAATCGGAGTAAATATAAGTTAGGCTAAGTTTAACCTAATTTATACGCTAGCGCTAGGGGCCTAAGTTTTACTAACAAAAATATTGGAGTGAAATATAGATAGTAGCAATATCGGGTTTACCGATGAATCTCCATTAAACTTGTTTTCGAGCTATAGCCGTTAAAAAACGTGTTTACGTGTTTTATCAAATAAGGGTGATTTTATGGAAATACTTCGTTTTGGGGGGGGGGGGTTGTAATTTTAAAATGTCACTTTTCGTTGAGACCGAGACAGATCTCCACAAAAAATAGGTTAACATCTCCCGAGGGCTGCAATCACAGGGACAATATCATCGACACCCGTAACTGCGGCAAAATCATTAACCCCTTCCTTGAGCCGAAATCATGCGATATCATCATCGTCACCCCCATCGTGGCAAAGTCGTGATTATCTCTCGTGTGCTGCAATCATCGCGAAATCATCAGCGTCACCGGTAAAATCGTCAATATCTCCCGTGGGCCGCAATCACGGGGACATCATCAATGTCAGCCGGGATCGCAGCAAATTGATAATCATTAGAAAAATGTTTTTTGTTCTAAAAAAAAACCATTGTCAATCCATTGCGGCCCCCTGTTCCTTGCGGCTCTAGGCCACGTGTCTGTAGTGTGTGGTCACCATTCGAATCGCACATAAGTTATGCCTCGAGCCTATATAGTGCTCTGGGGACACTCCCCTGCATGCCATGAAATACTTCTGCTACAAAAAAAAGCTGTGAGGGTGATAACATCTAAAGGCCCAAGAGAACATTGCCGACCCATCTTCAAAGAATTGGGAATCCTCACAGTGGTGAGCCAGTACCTACTTAATAGTCTGGTCTTGCTAAAGGAAAACCTTAGTGATTTTGTGACCCGTGGTGATAGGCATAAGTATGGAATAAGAAGGGCCCATGACCTGGATATACCTCGCTGCCGCTTGAGCCATACCTTAAGGAGATACCCCCGCTCGGCTATCAAAATCTACAAGTCCCTTCCAAACCACCTAAGGAACCTCGACTGTACAGCGTTTAAGTCCGAGCTGAAGAACTTGCTCACAAATAGGCCCCTGTATAGTCTTGACGAGTTGTCAAATGATCCTTTGATGCCAACTTGAGAAACAGACAAGCTTACCACAGCCTAAGTTTTAAGTTTTATGATATTTTGTAAAGCAAGTTTTGTATATAATAATTTTGTAAATATTAGTATAACGACGCAATCTATCCGATATTACTTCAGTCAAAGATTAAGACAACAAGTAAGTAAGTATTCAACTATAACTCAATAACTTGGTTATTGAACCAAGTTTAACTTAGACATTTGCTATGTCTGCTTGTCTCTCTGTCTGTTATTTAAATGCGTTTGAAGATAAATTAACTTAAAACAGATGGAATATGGATCGTAAAGGAAAACCAAAATATTGATACATTGAAAAGAAATCATTGATAATAATGAATTTTCCCCTTAACAGGAGAGTACCGTTAATCCTCATAGGAAATTAGCTAAAATAAAAAAAAAACACTTGAAATATACTAAAAAATGCTTGTATTTAAAAAATACTATTTTGAAGTGTTTTTCAAGGATTTTAACTGTATGAAAAAAGTCCGTAGGTAACATAAATCAACGATTCATTATAATCTATACTCTGTCTTATTACTCTGTCTGTACTTTGTCTTCCTAATCAGAACCTACTTCAAAAAACTTAATACAGCCCTGAATTCGCATAAAGCTCGACCCACCCCCACCCTGACATGCCTAAATAAGAACTAATTTTAATTTACATGCAATTAGCGTCAGTTCATTTCTCTTGTAAATATTTCATCCTTGCTACCTTGTTTATTCAAAAGTTGTTTATTTAAACAGCGACATCTTCAGTAACCTAATAAATTATTCTTTCACTGTGAAAATGCTGGTAGGCTATATTTGGATTCAGGAGCTAAAAAACTAAAAATTAAGATATCAAAATGAAACACCTATAGTTTATAGTATAGTTTGGAAGCCTATATAATGTTGCGGGCTTAGCAGGTTCTTTACAAATAAAACTTGGCGATTTTATAATAACTATTTATTTACACTAATTATTATATATTTACAGATTTTAGAATTACCTAACACCTAACTAACCCTATCTAAACCTAGCTAAAGCCTATTCTAAATTTACAATGTTTCTACTTACAGCTAGCCTCTACAGGATTTATCACTTCTGTTACAACACTGTCACTACACTGTCACTAGAGACACTACACTGTTCTGTTACTGTTACTCTTACTGTCACTAAACTGGCACTGCCACTAGTACTAGCACTGGTCACTAACACCGACGGGCACTTGCTGCGACGATTCTCGGAAGGCTCAACTCAACTCAACTGCCGTGTGCCGGAAGACGGTCCCTTATATAAGCTTTCCGTAGAACATTCTAGAGACTACTCGTAGGCTAGACAAAGGTGTTTACAGATCGCCGTGGAAGCTTCTGGAGATGTCAAACCCCCTATTGACGTAGTCCGTTGACATGGGTCTATTGTCTATCACTGGCGCGTTCGGAAAAACCGTGTAAACAAACAACCCTTTTGAGACGGCGCCTGGCTATTGTTGCGCGGGGCTCCTGACTTGTAACACTACCCCCTCCTTAAGACTGTTCTGTCCCAGAACAGATTTCCCATGAAGCTTGCGATCTTCTGGTCCACCGGAGGCTCCCCATGGGTTGTATACGCAAACCACAATTTCGATGCCAGTGTCCTTAAAAAGTTCCTGTACCATTTTTCTCACAATCCTCCATTCCAGACCGTCATAACCACATCCCAGCCTGGGAATAGCAAGCTTTTTGATTCCAATCCGAAGAAGTGTGTCTCGCAGGTCTTTCAGGCTTTTCTTCAACGATTCGTAGGAGGGCTTCTGGCTTGACGCTTCCTTCGTAACGAGGTAGAACAAATGCTGTCCATTGCGCTTCAGGTGAAGGGTGGTGCCAATGGCGGGTCTCTGACGCTCAAGATCTTCAGTCCCTCCAAACTTGTTCCTGAAGACTGTGGCTAAACCTCGCGACGCTCTCAGGTCTTCTGCTACGCAGTGGGCCAAGGCATATTCCACTGGCAAAGTGAAGAGGTCCTTGTATAACAGCCTCGGTCCTTCATTTCCACGTCTCTCAGGCACGATGTCTCTTGGCTCGGTTGAGAGGTTCCAAACTTGTTGTTCCTCTTGTTTGCCGTGATCTCCGTTGTAGGGTGCAAGCCTGTTGAAATGGATTAATATGGGTTTGCCGTCTGGTTGCCTCTTAATCCGGTAGATGACGTCATTTAGACGGGAAATAACTTCATAAGGTCCTTCCCACGAGTTCTGGAGATTTGGCGAATATCCACGACGCCTTCGGGGATTGTGTAGCCACACGAGGTCTCCAGGTGTGAACACTCCTTTCTCGGCCTTCACGTCGTACCTCTCCCTCATCCTGTCACTTGCTCCAGATATGTTGCGACGGACTTTCTCGTCCACCATCTTCCCGTTCTTTGACAAGGGAGCCACATCCTGCCACGATGATCTTCCTTTATTGCCCATCTTCCACTGCATAATGTGCCTTAGGTCTGGGCCCCCCTTCCGGTCCTCTGAAAGCTTCTTCTCGTCCTTTTCGTCGTTAATGACGATCACACGACGAACCGATGCACTGTAGTCTTCCTTGCGCGCACAATGATTGCCACTGTCTCCACATTGTCTTCTGAAGAGTGCATCCGCCTTCTTATGGCCCGGCCCAGTGCGATGAGTTGACTCGAAGTCATACTCCTGCTTCGATCCTGGAGGGATTGACTGATTCTTAGTCCGGGGACGCCCCATCTCTCCGCAGTTCCAACAGCGTGCCTGCCGGTGACGATTTTTGAGTGCCTCCAGAACTCTCTCTACCAGGTCCTCGATGTCCAGTGGAGTTGTAGGTTCTGCGTCTGCCACACGGACTCGAGCCTGACCTCTCATCGACTGCCGTACAGCCTCGAACTCCAGCGCCTGTGTCAGTGCGTCATTCAGGGTCTTTGGTCTGGCGAGCTTCACTGCCTGTTGAGTCTCAGGTTCACGTAGACCGTCTAGGAATTTATCCACCGCCAAACTCTCGTAGACATCATCCGTGACCGATGGATAGGCGTTTCTCACCAGACGAGCAATGTCGGCTTCAAACTCCTGAAGTGACTCGCTGGGTTTCTGGATCCGGTTCCGCAGTTGAGATCGGTAAAGCTGGTCCATGTGTCGATGGCCGAAGCGCATGTCCAATCTTCTTACTAGTTCAGCGAAATTCTTCCGCTCCGCCATTGGCATAGCATGCAGAACAGCTAACGCATCGCCCCGTAGTGCAAGACACAGCGTCGAAGCCTTTGTTTCCTCGGTCCACCCATGGACCATAGCCGCTGTCTCGAAGAGAAGCATGTAGTCCTCCCAGGGGGTTTTGCCATCGAAATGAGGAACGATGTTCTGAGGGGCAACGGCAGCAATGGTGGGCGCTGGCTTGGAGATCGTTTCTAGGGCGTTGTCCTGCTGAAGTTCGCCAGTGCTAGCCGATGACGCAGGTGTGAAGCTCCCCGATGCAGCAATTTCCTGCCTAAGCTTAACTAACCTATCTTCTAGATTTTTTTCTATACAATTAAATTTCTCATCTATTTCATTCATCCTACTTTCTAAATCATCAACTTTGCTAGAATACTCATCTAACTTGTTTAGCATTTTTGATTCTACATTTGACATTTTTGACTCTAATGTTTTGCTATTTTCTAACATTTTTGCCTCAATATTAGCTTCTAGGTTTTCTAAAGTTTTATTAGTTTCTGACATTTTTGACTCTAATGTTTTGCTGTTTTCTGACATTTTTGCCTCAATATTAGCTTCTAGGTTTTCTAATGTTTTACTATTTTCTGACATTTTTGACTCTAAGTTCTTAAGCATTTTATTCATATCAGATGTTTCAAATAAAAAGTTATCTGGGTCTTCACCTGCATCAATTAAAGCTTGTTTAAGGCGTGCCTGAAGGGCTGATTTAGTTCCACTAGTATCAAGATCTCGTTCTTCTAATTCTCTCCTAAGATCAGCTACTTTTAACTCATCAAGTTTCACACCTTTGAAAGCCATTTTTATGCCAAACAATTAAAATAATTTTACAATAAATGATTTTTTCCTTTGTAACAAAATTACGACACAAATTACTACTATGTAACAAAGACCCTGAATCTTACTAATATCTAATACAACTAAAATTAAACTCAATATTTTACAATTAAAATCGCCAAAATAATGCCGCTTTCTGACACCAATTGTTGCGGGCTTAGCAGGTTCTTTACAAATAAAACTTGGCGATTTTATAATAACTATTTATTTACACTAATTATTATATATTTACAGATTTTAGAATTACCTAACACCTAACTAACCCTATCTAAACCTAGCTAAAGCCTATTCTAAATTTACAATGTTTCTACTTACAGCTAGCCTCTACAGGATTTATCACTTCTGTTACAACACTGTCACTACACTGTCACTAGAGACACTACACTGTTCTGTTACTGTTACTCTTACTGTCACTAAACTGTCACTGCCACTAGTACTAGCACTGGTCACTAACACCGACGGGCACTTGCTGCGACGATTCTCGGAAGGCTCAACTCAACTCAACTGCCGTGTGCCGGAAGACGGTCCCTTATATAAGCTTTCCGTAGAACATTCTAGAGACTACTCGTAGGCTAGACAAAGGTGTTTACAGATCGCCGTGGAAGCTTCTGGAGATGTCAAACCCCCTATTGACGTAGTCCGTTGACATGGGTCTATTGTCTATCACTGGCGCGTTCGGAAAAACCGTGTAAACAAACAACCCTTTTGAGACGGCGCCTGGCTATTGTTGCGCGGGGCTCCTGACTTGTAACAATAATAATCACCAGTAGTTTATGTATAAAGTCCAACTTAATATTATTCTTAATTGCAGAATGATAAGGAATCTGCAGAACATTTTACAAAGGTGTACATTACAAGCCAAGCTGTCCCATGTCAAGCATACAAGTTTAAGCTTTAAAGAGTGTACTGGTAAGTAATTAAATGTTTCCTTACTTTTGAGTAGGTACAGTAAAGTTTATTTTTGCTGATGTAACTTCCAAAGCTAACTTAGATAGGCCTACGTTTGTTTATGTGAGTTTAGCCTACCTAATGTAAAACACTGAAGAATAGCTCTGCATCACCAGTAAGTCTTCACTGAAATAATTTATAGCTTACCTAAGTTAGTTCTTGGGGTTTTAGTAAGTTATGTGATTTCAGAGAAACAATATAAGATTTTCAAAACACTCACTCAACATTTTTGAGAGTTTATCAAATCATTAGTAGGCCTAAATGTTCTGTTTAATTATTTTCCACACTGGATCCGAAAAAGCAATAAGTTTTTGTCGGAAATATTCCTAAGGGTCTGTAAAATTAAGTAACAAATTAATAACAAATAGATTAGAAGTTTCTTTTATTTATTTATTTCTTCATTTCTGAGGTGTTGCCTTCCGGATTACTTAACCCTAAACCCACAGCCGCTCCGAGAGTTGTATGGCAATACAGTATTATTCGTTCGTGAACATTTTGTTTGTGTTCGTTTTTGTTATCTATATATATAATACGCTAAGCCGATTTTTGTAAACAGAACTCCTCCCTCATTTTTGGACCGATTTTGATAATTAAAGTGTCAAAAGAATGGCCCTGATCTGTAGTTTTGCAAAGTCTTTTTAATTTTTTGAAATTTGTATTAGTTTGGGCAGGATCTTCCATCAAAGTTGGATTTTCTCCCATAAGATTAACATGGGGAAATCTAAATATTTAATTGAAAACTTTGTCTCCACTAATTTGAGAGAACCACTGGGCGTAGAAACTTGGTAGAGGTGTCCAAAGAAAGGTCTTGGTCTCTAGATGAGTTACCAAAAGAAACACGAGGTGAATCCCGTTAGGGCTCTGCCCCAGAAGCATTTAAAGATCCCTCCACAGATTTGCTTACATTTTCATCATGTGGATAATACTTTTGAATTAAACAGCTGTTAATTCTTAAATTGTATTTTAAACAACACACGTTTATTGGGAGCTATTGAATTGTCTAAAAGAAATATTTGCAATGTTATTTACTGATTTAAAAATTGATGAGCTCTTATCGTGTCTAATAACATCCGAACACAGAAAGAAACCTTGCCTAGAATGGTACCGGTACCTATCTTTGAAAAATTATTTGCAGTGGCCTATATTAAGGACCGTGGCCCACTGGGTTGGTAGCATTTTTGAAAATAACACGACATTTTGGCTGTAAAAAATGGCCCAATGAGTAAATACTATTTGATCAGCTACTGTAATGACAGAAAGGTCATCATCATCCTTTATACGATACGTTGATTAACAATGCATTTTAACATTAATATTTACGTAACAGCCAATTTACAGTATTCTTTCTTTTTGGAAATGCCACTTTACTATGTCATTTATTTGCATTATTTGTTGCCAATGAAACCGCACGCCTATATATAAACGAAGAGGCCCCTAACCGTCGATTTCGACGGGTTTCTCCTAGTATATTTATATTTGTCTTGTTAGATAAGCGCAATCTGTAGGTGGCTCACATCAACTAAGACAAATTTTATTAAAAACCTGGCTACAACTTTAACATGGGGATGGAATGTCTAGTTGTTGTATTAATAGTCAAAGCCGGTAGCCGTTAAGTCTACCAATGATTACGTTGGCAACAAGGTATTTAACCTCTATATATTAGTAGGTATTTATTTCTTTTTTTCATTGAGTAAGTTAAATGGTGGTGGTTTGGGCGGTCTAATTCTAGTGGCGACCAACACTTGAAGGGCAGAAAGGTTTATATAGTGGAAACAGCTGTTAGCTGTTTACATTTGATGCAAAATAAACAAAACCACACACACAACGACGTGAAACCAAAAGCTTAGTAACAATTCCCAACGATTCGACTTGGAAAAGCAAACAGACATATGCAATTTTGAAAATACAGTAAAACAACAATGATACATTTTTTTTATTTTAAAAAAGTAAAAGAGAGGTTGGTGGCTTCTTTTAACCTTGCATTTGCCCGTCCACATAGACTACAGATCTGTGGGTGGAACGTATCCAGCTAAGCAAGGGATGAGCCGGTACAGTACAAAGGTAAACTGTACTGATAAAATGTTTGCGGCAGTGACCAGGATCTGAACCTTGACATTGCTTGGGCCTGAAGTCCGCCACGCTACCTACTGATCCACCTACTCACCAGTAGGCTGCTAACCATGAACACTAAGCAGGGTGTTAAAACAAAACAAATCATGCGATGCTACTTTCTGCACTGGAAAAATAATATTAAAAGTGCAGCAGTCGCAACCGTTTGCCGGGGATAGCTCAGCCTACGATGGCTGGGTAAAGTTCCAGGGTCTGCGATAAGGTCAGGGAAACCACTAGGCCAAAAGCCGGGTCTAACCGGTATAGGACTGGCTCATACACGGGCACTGTGAACAAGTCAAAAACAAGTCACCAAAACAAACGTGCAATAATCACTACCAGGCCTACGCCGATTCTCCACACTCCTAGGGGGTCGTTGCTGACTACGCAACTCGGGCTTCGTCCTAACTATCCAATAGTTAAGCCCAGAGTGCCTAAAACACGGTGAGTTACACGACGACTTGCCAATAAAAACCACAACGCGAGTTATCACCAGGCGGGGTTTACTAGGCCACTATAATCCAATACACAACTCTATTGCCCAAGCTAACAATCAAACAGTTCACTCAATAATAATACCAGATAACAATACAAGTGCACTATAGGTAGAGTGACTACACCACTAGTAGCTGGTCTCAATGAATACCAAACCAAACAAGCAAAGCTAAATGGCAATTGCACTACTATTAAATTATTGAGCTACTTAGTAACAGATAAATAAATATTAAATACGTTCCAAACACTAGATAAATATATTATCTGATAGCCGGTACTCCGCTATCCAAGCTACCAAGATAACGTGTTGGATTACCAAACAAGCTGTTCAGGTTAAATTAAGTTAATCAAATGATTAATCAACAACAACCCTACGACTGCTACTGCTACTACCAACTTTATATTACTTAGCTGGGCTTCTGTTAATAGGCTAATAATATTAGCTACTAGCCTACTGGCCACGTGCTTCCAACTACGCACGCTAAATCGTGCAGCCTAGGTTTGTCGGGCCTCACAGTTATTAGTAATATAACTAACTCTTGGTACAACGCAAAATAATATCTACTACAGTCAATCCTTATATATAATACGTGAAGGCGATTTCTTGAAAACACTACTCCTCCGTTAATAATGGACGGATTTTTACAAACGACGTGTCAAAATAAAATATTTTTTGTGTAGACACCCCCTTTCACCAATTCATGTAGTAAAAATCCTCGGGCTTTGCCCCACAGGCCATCAAAGTTGGAGTTTCTCCCATAAGATTAACATGGGGGAATCTAAATATTTGATTGGAAACTTTGTCCCCACTAATTTGAGAGAACGGTTGGGCGTAGAAACTTGGTAGAGGTGTCCAAAGAAAGGTCTTGGTCTGTAGATGAGTTATGAAAAGAAAAACTAAGCAAAATCCCTTACGACTCTGCCCCAGAAGCCTTTAAAGATCCCTCCACAGAGTTGTTTACATTTTGGCCATGAGAATAATACTTTTTAATGAAACAGCTGTTCATTTTTAAATTGTATTTCAAACAACACATAATTATTGGGAGTTGAATTCTACCAACTAAGTATTTGCAATGTTATTTTCTGATTTTAAAATTGATTTTCTTCTTTATCATGCCATGTTTTGCAATATAACGTTCCATTACGAAATCAGTGGAAAATCCTTTTATCACAGCAATTCTTAAATTATATCTTATTGAACTATCTTATATCTATTGTACGGGTTGGTATGTGCCTTTTTCGCCACTTTTGCCTACATTTTATCATATTATTCTACAAAATATCAAATATTTATGTAGAAATATCTGCTCTTATTGTGTCTAATAAAATCCAAAGTTAGAAACATTGCCTAAAATGGTACCTATCTTGACAAATAATTTGCACCTTGACTTTGGCGCACTGAATTAGTAACATTATTGAAAATAACACGACATTTTGGCTGTAAAATATGGTACAAAGAGAAAATACTATTTAAGCAGCTACTGTCATGACAGAAAGGTCATATTCCGTTTAAACTAGATCACATAATCCTTTGACTGGGACGGGTGGCGTCGTCCTGTAATCCAGCTACTAGGAGGTCACGAATTGTGGATATTTATAGGAATGCACTGTGGATGCGATACTCCCTGGTGTGGATTAACGTCCGCACGAGTGAGTACTACGACTACCCGCAGTGCTATCCTGATAATTATACCAATTCATAAATACCAATGCAAAAAAAATTTGGTTCCAATTCAACTATAAACTGTAGATCCCTTGGTTGCCATTCGCTGTATTGACTATTAATTAACAGCTGTATCTAAGGAATGTCGGCCTTAGTAACTAACAAGACTTCAAGATCGCGCCACTCTTCCTACACTCATCTCCATTCATACTTGGCTTACCTACTATGAATGGTCGCCATAAAAAAAACGTATTAAAGGATTAAAGTATTTATTTATCATATACGTTGATTAACAATATGTAAACGTCAATGTAACAGCCATTTTACAGTATTTTTGCTTTTTGGAAATGTTCAATTGCTATGTCATTTGCATTATTTATTGCCAATGAAGCCGCCAAGATCATATGAACTAGGAGGCCCCTAACAGTTCAAGAATAAAAGCCAACTTTACTTCATGTATTCCACTACACCTAACATTCCGTAGAGAGATTATATTGACAACTTTATGTTATTGATAAGGCCGAGCCCCCGAGACAACTAACTGACATCCCCCATGTCAAGGAATTCCAGCTTTATCAGTAACCCCACAGTCAATTTCTCAAAACTATGCTAGAGGGTTCATTCATTGGCACAGAAGTACGATATGAACTGACGCGACGTGACGAAGGAAAATCAAACTTACACTGTAACGGATATACCTCCCTTTGAAGTTAGAACGTGTCTTCTCAACAAACATATATTTTTTCTCAAACACTGATGAAATCACGGAAGTGTTTAGCTACAAAAGATCCACCAAATCCGATTTAAATACTATTTAAAGGTTCTACCAAAGGAAGAGATACCATATAACATACTAATAATAACTCCGATGACGTAAAGGATAGGAAATATTTTAATCATTGAATGAACAACCAAATTTGGCAACTAACGCAATATTGTTATTGTTTTTACACTTACTCTTTGAGCAATGTTAAATGCTCAAAATATGTATATTTCACCCAATTCATCGCAGTTAGATGAATTAACGTAAGCCTTGAAAGTAACCGTCGATTTCGACGGGATTCCCCTAGTTAAATATATTATTTGCGCTCTAGCACCTGCCCAGAACCGTCAGGAATATACTTTAATATTATTCCTGACTAATATAAATAAACACAACTTACAACTCAACCAATTAAATCAGAGATGAATGTTTTAGTAACAACTATCAACTCTTAAACCAAAATGTAAGGAACGTCGTCCACTCACCAATAGTGGGTCTGTACCCAACTTACACCAACCACGACGACACCGATGTCACCCAAATCACTGGACGTCTCACTAGACACACGCTCGCTCTTCACTGCACGGGATCCACGACTAGAATGTCCTTGCTCGGCTATCCAGTAGTCCCGGGATACCCAAGCTTATCCGAACTGATAAGCCGGGTCAAAGGGCGCTAGCCAGGTTCGCCGCCGCCGCTTGCTTACCTCAACAGACTCGCGGCCAAATAGCAAAAATATACCCCCCTAAGGAAAATAGCTCGTTACAATCGTCCACTCTACTATAGAATTAAATAATCAAGTCGTCATTTAGTTATTGGGAAAAAGTTTCAATCAACAAAAAAAGCCAAAAGGCGTGACTGGGCAGGATCTTTCAGAGTGGATTCTTTTTTTGGAAATACAAACCTTAAAGTTCTCACCCTTTGGCAATTAGTTTATAACTGTTTTTTTCCACCCTGCCAAATATTTTTCTTAACAATCTTCGATCTTTCCAGCAATACAATAGTATCTAGATTGGTTTCTTTCGTCCGAGAAGTGTATCTTTACGATTGTGTGATTAATTTGAAAAGACTAGGCAGGCCAGGTGAAGTAGGCCTAGTTGAAATGGATTCTTTGAAGCAAATTTTGGGAAAAGGAAATATAATCAAGGCAGGCTAGTGAAGGGTAACTCAGGGGTGTTAAGGGGGGTGCAGAAATACAAAAGATTAATTTTTATTCCTGTTCGTAACCGCTATAGGCAAAGCTAGCATTTTTGAAATTGCTATTTTGTGGTGTTGTTTACTGTAAGTTACTTTCCACAGTCCACATACAGACTCGTCCAAACCGCCATATTACCATCCAAACCGCTTAATGGACCTTAAATTTGTCATTTTTAATTATGTAGACACTTAGGGTTGCCACCCTAAGTTAGAGAAAATTCGCGCATATGAAAATTCAGAATAGTCCCCCTAATACCTATTTCAATCTACTTTATACAAGCTTTATTAAAATTTTTGAATACATTCATGAAAGTAAAATATTTAACTAATTCACTAAATCAATAGGGCCTAGTGCAATTGGAAGGTAAGTTTGAGTAAACAATTCCAATGTCTAAAATATTTTGCAGGCCAATTTCAAGAAACCATTCATTCTAGATTAGTTAGTTAATTGCATTAACGACTGATAAGAGCTGAAAACAATGACCATTAGTCACTACTGTAATCAGTCTATTATTTCTGTAACTAAAGATTTGACCTATGTTTCTGTGCCATGTTGTAATTATATTCTTGTCCATTTTAGTGTCAACAATGCCAGACTGTTCAGTTGAAATTCGTGAGGCAAAAACCAGACTTCGCCTTGAGGTTAAGAATAGACTGAAAAATTTAACTCAAACTGAAAAGTTGAAGCAAACTTTTATAATTACGTCAAGGGTAAGTAATCTCTTATTATTTTATTTTCTGTATTATCACACCCAAATCTCATTTTACCTATAAGTTAAGGCATGTCTATTAACAGGGGACACAAAACAAAATGTAGTATCCACTCTTTTGTCAATATTGCCACTGTTTACAAAGAGTGGTTAAAGTGTTATGCTTTGAATTTAAAAGTTGCTGGTTCGATCCTGAAAACGATCTTTGTTTCTGGATTCCATTATCATAAGTTAGTGTTATTACCATGATTAAGTTAGACCTACTGATACTTACTTTCCGTGTCCGGAAATCAGACTTCTCTTTTCCAAATATTAGCTACCAATATGGCTTTGTCATTCGCTTGTAAAAGATCATCTAAGATCAGCAGATGGCCGGGATCCTGAACAACACCACACGCACACAAGATGTTTTCTTCGTCTGGTAAGAGACCCCATTTCTGCATGTTTGTCTTGCATTTTGGTACCTCAACCCTGATTCGATTTAGGGTCTTCCACACCGTGTAATGAAGGCCTCCACGAGGAGCCAGTTCCTCCCTGGCTGGTATTGGAGGGTTAGTCAACGTGGCCTCCCACCTTGCCACCCGATTGCTTGAGAGTGATCCATCCAGAACTCGTGTCCGTGAAAGAAAGCTCTTTCTGGACCGAAGCTGTCGCTCTACAGGTTGGTGGCCGTGTACTGGGTGACAAGGGTCCGTCTCTTGCTTAGTCCTTTCTACGACGGCAGCGACATCACGTCGGATTGATAGAGGGGTGATCCCTATGATAGGGAGTTTGTGTACTGGGGTTGGTTTCAAACACCCAGTTACAATCCGAGCCATGTCATTGACTGCAATTTCAACCTTTTTTGCATGTGACGATGCATTCCATACTGGTGCATGCAGCGTACTCCGCAGCCGACACACTGAGGTTCTGCGGACATTAGGGTTAGCAGCACCCTTGCATCTGCTGGTGAGCTTCCTGATGATATTATTCCTCGCTGATACTTTACCCCTTGTCGCTATACAGTGAGATTTAAATGTCATTGTGCGGTCCAGTATGACACCAAGATATTTGGGTGATGCTTACTGATGCTTGGAGGCCTACTGATGCTTTCTGGCAACCGGCTAGGCCTATAGTTTAATGTTTGTGAGACTAGGGTTTGGATAACCTTATGACATCAGATCTACAACTATATTGTTGTTCTTATAGTGAGTTTATGATATTGTTATTTTGTTTTAGATAGTTACACATCCAGATTTCCAAAATGCCAAAAGGATAGCCATCTACCTAAATATGAAAAATGAAGTTGGAACCTTTGACATTTTGCAAGAAGCATTTAATGGTAAAAAACAAGTTTATATTCCACTGTGAGTTGTTTTTGTAATATAAGATTTTAAGAGTCAAACTATAGATTAGATATATTCCCACATAGGTTTATCATGCTGTATAGATCAGCAATAGACAATTCACAGTTAGTATATTTATGTTTGTAAACGCTCAAGAGCATTGTCTGACAATTCTTTGACTTATTTTTGAATTATTATTCTCAATAATTTTTGTTGAAATGTGTTCTTTTAACAAATAAAACAATAAGCTTTATCCTCTCCTCTGGTATTGTAAGCAAAATGTAAATGCCTACTGTAAGGCCCTGTACATATGAGGGTGGCAGCCGCCGCGGTTGCTATTGCGCGGGAATGGCAGCGGTTGAAAGTACAAAGGAGCAAATGGGACCGTTCACATGCAACCGCCCACTTCCAGTCAACCGCAACAAACCGCGGCGGTCGTAGATTTTCCTTCGACCGCTGCGGCTCCCGTGCGGCTAAAGTTACTAGAGTTGGCATGAGATCGTACACATGGGGGCGGTAGCCGCCGCAGTTGACTGCAGTTGCTACTATAGGATCACAGACATCTGCCCGCTTGCCCTGTGGACATCGCTCTCTGTGTTGGTGAAGTGTGTAGCTGTGGCTGGAGTTGATGTAGTGCTCGTAGTGTAAGTTTACAATGGCCATGCGTGCTTCTGTGGAACCAGAAAACTTTGACACTGAACTGTTCATTAAAGAAGTACAAAAAGAAGATACGTTTAGGGCATAAACTAAAAAAGGTTGCGTGGCAAGAGTTAGTTGGGTTTTTTGCTGAAAAGAATTGTCAAGCGTTACGCGTTTAAAAAAAAATAATTGGGTAAATACAATACTGGCTGTCGAGCGACGGTCAATTCACACCGCAACCGCAGCGTAACCGCGGCTCCAACCGCTGCCATGTGTACGGTACTAGGCGGCCGCCGCTGCGACCACTGCGGCGGCTGCCGCCCTCATGTGTACAGGGCCTAAAACTGGCTTATCATATGGCTGTATAGCTGAGTGGTTATAGTAGGCCTACTCACATAGTGATCAGAAGGTTGTTTAATCTTGAGATGAGTCAATTTTTTATGGCTCAAAACTGAACCCAGTCACCCTTCATCATTTAAAGGTTTTCTATAAATGACCCTGGCTAAAGAATGAGCTGATCTTAGTCGGTAGCAAAGCTGTGTCCGATTCATTTAACACTCATATTTGCCTTAAAGTGTCCACCCTAGTGTGGTGTAAAAATGTAATCCAATTTTATATAGGCTGTAAATGGGTTACCAAAAGTGCTAAAGACAATTCATTGCAGAACTGATTGGTATTTGATTGAAGTTCTTGGTATTAGGGGTTTGGTTAAGTCTTGAAAATAACACTTCTTTTTCTCATCTTTGGAATTTTCAGCGTGGTTGGGAGTGACATGAAAATGGTCCGATTGGATTCAATGGATGAGTTAAAAGCGATGCCAAAATCAAAATGGGGAATAATTCAACCCATGGAGAGTGATGAGAGAGAGGACTGTTTGGAGACAGGTAGGTGACTGTGTGTTTGTGTGAAAGTTGGGTTTAATACATTTTTTATGGGCCAGTTAGGTTAGTTTGTATAATTTGTTTGATGACATTCTATGATTAAATTTCTGTGATCTCAGTCGTCAACCACTATTGAAGTCCATTACTAGTTGGGTAAAGTGTTTGAACGTAGTAAATATGTGCAAGGGGCGGAGGGGTGTTTGGAGGTGGTCCATTTGCACACTGATTCATCAGCCTTTTTAAAGTAACAATTAAAAAGGGACATCTTTATAAGACTATCAAGGAATCAGGGTCAGCCCTGAAAGCCTGAATCCTTTTAGCAAACTATCCTGAATTCGATCACTGTCTTGGAAAAAACTGAACAAAACATGTTGCTGACTGGTTGTGTAGATGTGTTTACACTTCTAAAAACTCCTTAAACCACTAATGCACAATTTCTACGTCCAAACACTTTACTCTTTAAATATCAGTCAACTGGAAACAGTAATCAATAGGAATAACCCTCTTCCTACAGAAACCTAATCACAAAATGCAATTTATACTTGGCTGAGCACCAATTTTCGTTTGCAACTTTATTTAGGCTCTTACCATGAGACCTACGGTAATAGCTACTTCCCTATAGCGAAATTCGCTAAAAGAGTATTTGATCAAAAGGAAGATGTAGATGTAAAAGCAGATGCTTCAAATAAAACGTAGAAGTAAAAGCTTTTCCTTCATATAATCTCTATATATATAAATGTGTCCTCCGTCCATTGTCAAGTTGGGCATGGAGGGGCAACATCCAAGCAACGTTGCGGCTATGCCGCGTGACGTCGGTGCAACACTGCATAGTGCTGCTGCCTAACGATCAATCGGGGGGTTAGGCAAACTGTAGCTGCGCATTAACTGATTTCATCGAGCGACCTGCTGAGCTGTCTCAGCGAATTCCAGCCACCCGCGTTACACTTCTGAGAACATTGGCCTGGCCTAGCGCTGAGCCACGGCTGACGGAATATTCCATGGTGAGGCAACTGGCTGACGCAAAAAGTTGGGAGGTTAACACAGTCCAATATTACAGACCCTCCTTTTAAATTTGAAATAAAGCAAAGCTTTTGTGACAGTATTGACAGGGTTTCTTAAGGGTGTAGGAAAAACCTCCCCAGGTGATATGTAATGGGTCTGGGAATTTTTTGGGCCGTCACAACCGTGATAGCGGTAGAGGTTTATACCTACTCTTGACTGACCTACCTTATAAATTACCTGACCTTACCTGACCTTTTAAATAACGATTTTGAAGGTCTGCGTCCTGTATACACCTTTTCATGATCCTTAGTGACTTTAATCTAATTAGGGTCCCTTGTATACTAACTAATATTAATAACTTTAAGAAGTCTTAGCCAACTGCAACCTTTAACATATAAATAAACTGGGCAAGGGTACCTTTTACTGTAAAAATATTTTTATATAATAGGCAGTATTATTGTTATCCTTATCCTCCGTAATTTTCTTAGTTACTATCAGGTGATTTTCCATTATGGTAGTATTTTGTGTTGCATTACAGGAGGAGTAAACTACGTAGTGGTTCCTGGGGTTGCCTTTACTTCCACAGGACTGAGGCTAGGCCATGGCAAAGGCTACTACGATAGATTCCTGGCGGAAAATGATCGGGTGAGATTACTACGTTGAATTATAAAATCTGTAAGTTATAACTATAAGTTTTACTATTAACAGGTACGCCCCAGTGCGGTGCAGCTTAGTGTGTCGAATGATCCCGATTGCCGGGCTATTGTCTTTCAAACTTTGGTCTGAGGAATAGCAAATAACGTTCGGTGATGTACTGCATTATGACGAGAGTCGACGTAGTTCACAACTTTTTTTTCGGACGCTAGGCACGAGCCTAGAATTGTTTTCCACATTACTTCAGGCTAGACCTAGGGGTTACGGCATTATCACTTAGATCAAATGCATTGGTGTTTTGGCGTGATTTGAACCCGGGACCTGTAGTTCACTACTAGTCACTTACTACACGCAAACTTGGTATAGGTCTGCCTTCGACCGACCCTAGGCTTGCACTGAGCAACAGATTGGTTCACTGCAGTGGGTTAGTACTGACCCGGCCACGTGAGGGCTGTGGGTCAGTACGGACTCACCCGCAGCGAACGTGTTAATGCGTTCAAATGCCTGATTTGAAGTGAACTGAAATTATTGATCATGTCAGCTTCATAATCACACCACCTACCCCTGACACAGACAGGTAAACAAAAGGCTTGATTGTGACAGGGTTTAAACCCTTAACCTTTGCGGAGAGATAACATTTTACACCCCTTTCATAATATACGGATTTTAGCGTCCAGTTAAAAACTGCTTGTTTTAATGTTTTTAGTAGAGCAAAGAGCATGAGGGCTTTCACTTTATATGGGTCCACTCCTTGAACGACAGGGAACCTGATGGTTGGCCCGCCGCAGCCCTCTAGAGCACTAGGGCAGGTGCATGAGGGCTTGCACGCTGAACGGTTTTTAGTCAGACAGGAGCCTGCCAGCCGTTTATGTGAATCAGTTCACCATTTCCTGTGCTCATCAATAAATTCAAAAATTCTTAGCTATGTTTTATATACACACTGAAGTAAAAGGTTTTTAAATTTAATTTAATCAACCTTATTAAATCAAAACCAGTGTTATGGGATAAAACTTTCTTACAAAGATCGTGTGGTAAAAAGAACTAGCGAATTTAATAATTAGAAAACATTTCTAATTCTTCTTGCCTTTGGTTTAGTGTATGTTAAACACTATATTACCCCTTTATGAAACAGTGATACGTCCAATCCAGCTTATACCAAATACCTGTTTCAGATTACTGGGTCCAGATGCATAACGGTTGGTGTAGGTTTTAACGAACAGATCGTAGATGAGTTACCTACCAATGAGAACGACTTTCGCCTCACCTGGGTTGTGTATCCTGAGATGAGTTCATTGTTCAGCAAACATATCGAGATTCCGTCAGAGTTCAAACCACCTCCTGAACCATTTATTATTTAGCATTCAAATTCTCACACATTTTAGGTCTCAGTTTGAACAATGTTAATATTTGTGTTTTATCAGGTAAAATAAAGTAATAGGTGAGTTGGTGGCTCAGACGGTAGCATGATGAACTTCAGATCTATGGCAGCAATGTCATGTTTTCGGATCCTGGTACCTGACATTATATTTTATCAGTACAGTTGACTCTTGTACCACATCAGTTTAACCCTCGCTTTGATGGATAATTTCCACACATGTAGATGTTCAACCTCTTAAAAAATAAATACAACAAATATGTATTACTAATAAATTGTAATATTTGTAAATTAGGATTTCACTTAAGACATTTGAAGAGGAGTGCTAATAAGATGGTTCTATCGGTAACCAAATCAAAATTGCCAATTTTTATATATTTTTCTTGGTTTATGGGAAAGAATTATTTTTTTGTATGTCTGTAAGACTGTTGGTTTCAGTGACATATTTAAAACAATTTAAATGATTTCCTATCTATTATCCTAGAACTTACATGACCAACTTTATTATTGTAATTTTAATTAACCTGATAACTGATTTGCATGAAATGAAATAATTTCTTTTACAATCCTGAGACCCATCTGGATGGTTGAAATTTTACTAAATCTACTATTTGATTAAACATTGCTAATTTTCATTGTTACATATTTTATTTATCACTTTGAAAGTAGTTTGTAATAAAGCTTACTCTGCATTATTTTAATACAAGCCAAATTTTTTCCAAAAACTGTAAATCATTCCATGGATGTAAAAAAAATAAATGTTTAGTTCATTTTTTTATCAAGTGTTTTGCTTACCGTATTGCATTTCTCTTATAACATACCAAATAGGTTGTTTGCCAGAACTAAGAAATAGTCAACTTAGCAATATAGTTTTGCTATGGTTTCATATCAGCAAACCACCTAATAGGTTATGTTTTAACTAACTTGACAACTATAGGTAGTAGGAATTTTGTACTCAAGGAAGATACTGTATATATTTCCGTTCTTACTTTTAAATACATAAAATTTATTTCACAATTTTTACAAACTGTACACTTAGATTAAGTTGAAAGCTACTTAAAACTAAAATTAAGTTATACGTAAATAATATAATCGTTAATGATACAACAATCATAATAACTCATCATTTATTGAGCTTAATGCTATTTACAATTTTAGATGGTTTATTTAAACATATGTGATGATTTATGTATGATATATGATTCTCAGGGCCGTATTAAGAATCTATAAGGCCCCTGGCGGCTCACACGAGACGGAATCCTATATTCTGATTCTTCGGTATTGCTTCAAATCAATAATATTAGGGGTCTGTGGACCAGACCTTTTACATTTTACTTTTTACATTTTCGAGTCTTGTCAAAAAATATGACCTTTGGATATTTAACCAGAATCAGGTGGATTCAATATTGGGTTGTTTAATGGCATTACAAAGAAAATATTAATTGTGATACTATAATCAATTCAAAAGAGTTCTGCAATTGTCAAAAAATCATAAACACGAAACAAAGTTGAAAATAGACTAAATATCCTTTGTAATGACAAAATTGTTAGTCTCCCCTGTGGTCTTAGACGCAATGTTCATGGTGAACATCTTTTATGATCACGTAGACATTATTACTATCTCCCACTGTTGCGGCAAAATTGTTAACATCTTTTGTGGTCAAGAAGACTTCACGTCGTCTCAAAATTCTGATTTTTTATCGCACAATATTCATAGTTAAGAACAAAAGCTAAGGTAAAAAAACTGAACCTTCTAACAGATTATCAGTTAAATTAATTTTTCAAGAGTAAACAATTTTCTTTTGAGGCCCCAAGTTAAGTGGGGGTGGGGGGATTCCTCCCGGGCCAAACCCCTGGCAACCATCGTTAAGGGAAATACGACCCTGATGATACTCGATACTGTATAAGTAACAACAGTTTATTATAAGTGTGAAAAATTACTAATTTCAGTTTTTAATTAGGCTACTTTACATTTCATCACAGATTAATAAAACTAGCCTAAAAATTTTTTATGACAAATCTTGAATATTTTTATGCCTAATTTTATAGTATTCTCTACAAGCTTTTTACCTGAAATAACCAAAATACGTCTGAAATTTGTATTAAAAATTTCATATTTCTTTACAAAGTTTTTACAAAACCTTTTCTTTATTCATATTGTGTCGTTAAGGAACTTTAAGTATTTCACGCTATTCATTTATTCCATTTTACAGAAATTGTCAATTACACACACTAATATTACCAAGAAATCATTGCAACAATTTAACATTTGACATATAGTATGAAATTACTTACTGTTTAATTAAGAATAAATTTCCTTTGATAAATATTTGTTTCTTGTTATCAAATAGCGTTTTCTTGTTAGAAGATGTACAGGAGTAGTACGAGTTGAAATCTGGTGCAACTACACAATTATTTACAAAATGGCACAATTATTTTACCATATTTTGTTTTGTAATCTAATGTTACAACTGATCAAGCAGTGAAATCTGTGACTGTGAATACATGACATTCTACTACGTAGTAGACATCCCATCTTCATAAGCTGCTAGTGTTAGAATATAAAGGACGTAGTTGAATTCAGCATTCGAGTTAGTGCGCTACAACATGTGACACCTACTTTTACCATTCACTATTGGATACTGAAGCTTTTACACAAGACAAACCGAATGGTTGACTTATTGTAAATAACATAATATTCTAAGAAAGATAAACTATCACAGTATACGATTTCTAAAAGTGACAATAAAACATCATTACTAGCATGCTGTGAGAGGCTTCTGTAATTCTTAAGTTGCTTATGAGTATAAAACTAGATTCGTCATATCCAAAAAGATAGGATGCCTTTTCTAGTATCCAAACATCAGCCTTTGAAGAGAACTATTTTAAATTTCACAATCTCAATGTACGATTTGTCAATTAATCCCTTACACGTGACTTGAAAAATGTCATAAAAATGTTCATCACATCATGGTTTTAACGAAGGCAAAGGCCACAAAAATAAAGCCTGTCTAGGATTCAAGGATGTTTAAGAAATGTAATTAAAATCAATCTTTATTGCTAGGTTCTTTAAAAACTCTTAGACTTGACATGCAATATTGTGTAGGGATTATGATTCTATTTGAATGTTTCTAAGCATCATATTCCGTTATAAATTCTGAATGTGATTTCATTATGTCTTCTCATTTTATGGTGCAAAAATTATCAAAACAAAACAAAGATGTGAACAAAGTCAGAATGGTAGGTCAAAATAAACCATTAAAATAATTGTCAGTATTGCCAATTGACTGAATGCATACATTTTGATCTGTTTCCTGATTTTCAGGGGTCTTTTATGGCTGTTTAGGGAGCTAATTTATAAATATTAAATCTCTGTTTAATACTTTTTGGGTAAAATACAAGCCTGACCTGCTTAGAGTGTCAAATAAACTATGAGAATGAGAATATAACCATTATTCAAACTAATGTTTGTGAATCAAAGTGTTTGTAAACTATTGAAAAACAGACAACGTGACCATGTGAACTACTGCAATGTTCATCTGCATTTGTAGCAGTTTTAACATATAACATTGTAAAGATTTCATAAAATCCATATACAGTATACCAAATTACAATACAAAGAAGTTTTTAAAATTGGAATTTTTTTTTATGGAACTTAACATTTTGGTAACACATTGGTAACTAATATATACACTAATCCAATTTTCCTTTGAATACTATTCAAACAAAATTCATTACCTTTCAAAAGTACAAAAAACACTTTTGAGCAATCATTTAACTTCTTGCTTTTGTCTGGTTTAAAAATTTACTGTTTCATGTAACAATCTTGTATTTAGTTAAAATTTATGGTCCTCAAAAGTGAAAAAATCACAAATTTCTTTGACAAAATTATATCTGATGAAATTATTTAAGAATCTGTCTTGAATTTTAATATTGTTTTTTTTTTTACTAATACTGTCTTACGCTTTTAAGCTGTGAATGATCCTGTTTTGACCTTTAGGAAAACAAATCATATCTTATCCATAAAAAACTGTTCTTTAAACTAAACAAAATGCAGTAATAAAACAGAGAAATAGTCCTTATTGATTAAAAATTAAAACAATCTTTATTAAACCAGCAAGAAGAAATTCTCTCACACACATAACTCACAACACATGAAAGCTTTTAGATTATAATCAAACTTAAAGTAGCACTTGGGTCTATTTACATCACAGTTCTGTTATATAAAATATCACTCAGGTAGGTTCAGGAATCACAGAGAGCCGAACATCCGTTTTCCCCTCGTCAGCATCAAACTGACAATCATAACTGAGAAAAGGAAGAAGAAGAATCCAACGGCCGTTGTCACAAAGCGACACCAGAACCTGAAACAAACATATGTCTTGAACAATGCACTAACCATAAAAATGTAATTGAAAATACAATATTAATTGTGTGAATTTTAAAGTTAAGAGTTTTAAAAAACAAGCAAGGATGGATAGATAGGAGAAACCATATACTTGGAAATTGGGTGCAATTTAATAGTTCTTGGGATTGACACAAGCTGGTCTTTTCTTCATTGGCTATGTGGATCACTTCACTTCATTCAAGGGCAAATGTATATTTTTGAAACAATACTTCTAAATCAACCCTGATCTGTTAAAATTGCCTTAGCAGATTGACATGGAGAGGTCTGAAGAGTTGAGTACTAAAAACAATGTTGGAACCCTGAAAGCATATCTTAGAGTGTGGAAGATAAATCTATTTGATCTTGATGGTACATCCCATAACCACAGTACTTATTTCAAATACCTATGGGTCACTTTAAATTAACTTTTTACATATATGCCTCTTGCAAATACCTTGCAATGTTATTGCAGAGATAGATATCATACAGTATCACTGGTGTATTATGTTGCTGAATACTGACTTCCAAGTGGCTAATAATACACTATAATTAAGGTTCTTCGTGGTAATCTATACTATTATAAAGAAGAGGTGGTGTCTGTGTGTGTGTTTGTATGAGGTAATCTCAAAAACTACTGAACCTATTGGGCTCAAATTGCACACAAATGAAGCTACAGCTCCGAGGATACATATAGAACTATTCCCGCTTCGATATTGTCCTAGGGCTCTGCCCCGTGGGCTTTCAAAAATCGGAGGTGAGAGATTTTAAAGTAAATTTTGATTGATGGTATCCATGACAACAAAGAACAAACCTACAAAGTTTAAAATGTAAACAAGCAGTACTAACTGTCAAATTGATTTTGATTTCACAATTCCATACAGCTGGTTCAAACATTCATTTAAATACTGCATGAATATTAGAACAGAGAGGGTAAGGATCATATTTAAAATAATGATGTCACTATCCTGAATGAAAACATTATTTAACATTATTTAAATGGAGCTGTCAAACCATACGCTAATGTCACTTAATACTTACATGCCAACCCCGTACAAGGACGGGTACTCTGCTAGTAAATTCAATAAGGTTTAGCTAGCTTATAATAGGGCGATGAGAGTGATTATAGGCACTCTTATTCTACCAACCCATCTTTCTTGTTACTAGTAGTGTTGCAATACTGCTAGCTACCTAACTAAAAAAAAATAATTAAAAGAGGCTCTATTCAAGTTAAAATAGCTATTGCAAAAACCCAGAAAGAACTGATCTTAATCACTGAACACATGTGAGGAATGATTAATATAACCTAATTTTTTTGCAATTTTTTCACATTTTGCTATAGTTAATTACTTGTAAGTAGTTAATGTCTTGTTCAGTAAGGTGTTACCCTACTCATATAGCTGGGTAGCTGAGAGGTTTCATAGTTATATCAATTTTTGTAATCAAAAGTTTGTTGGTTTGAGCCTGAGAAAAGTTAGCACCTTTTTGATGGATTAAAACCATACCCAGCTCCAGCTGTCTTTGACTGGCTTTTAATAAACGGTCCTGGCAAATGAAACAGCTGATCTTAGTCAGTAACAAAGCTACAGTACACAAGGCATCCCACTTCTAAACTCATGTTTCGGTTAAAATATGCACCTAGGGGATGTCCTCCTCTCAATTGGTAATAAAATATAATACAAATATATCAGAAACTCTGGGAGCAAACTGGACTAGTGGTAGAGCTTGGAATTTTAATCCCCAAGGCTGCGGGTTAAAATCCCCCAATCATCAATACAATGGATTTTATCTGAGTGATAGCCACACTACTGTCTAGGCTTGGCCTGATATTGCAAACTGAAAACAGTTCTGGGCTAGATCATAGCATATTATAGGATGTGAAGGTATGGGACATGAAAAAATATCAAAATCTCTAGTAGTTTACCTTTGGCGTTTGCTAGACTTAAGCCTCCTCATGAGCTCTTCAGCTTGGTGCCTGTCCAGGGTGAAGTCTGGAGAATGGAGTCCAGGAAACACCTGAAACAGGAAGACAATGTTTAGTTGACTAACATAGGTTGTTTTAGCCATCCTTATAAAGTTCACATTAGATAAGTCATACAGAAGTGAAACGAATATAAAAAGGTTTCCTTTTAGCGAATTTCCCATATAGGGAATAAGCTATTACCGTAGTACTCATGGTAAGACCTGGACGCGGGACCGATTTTTTGTTTGTTTTGAGGTCCCTAGAGGCCAAAAACACCATCCGTTCAAATTCATATATATATATATTTATATATATATATATATATGTGTGTCCGTTAGCACGATAACTCGAGCAAAAATGATCCAATTTTGATGAAATTTGGTACAAACGTGTAAACCTACGTTTATTCGAACGAGTTCGCGATCCAGCATGATCGGACCATGCGAACGGGGTTTTATGGGGTAAAAATAGGTTTTTCCCATTTTTGACCCAAAAAACATAAAATTTAGCAATTTCTTTCCAAACCATTTTGTAGAGCTTAAAAAAACAAATAATTTAGTATATTGAAGCGTTATTATGCACCTAATGGTTACGGAGAAAATTCAAAAAAATTTTAAATTTAAAATTCCCATGTCATTCTTATGGAGAATAATTAAACTGTTGTAGTTTGCTTGCTTATGAACATATTTTGATCAAATTTGGAAAACGTTTTTATTTCTTACTAACTATTAACATTTTACAACAAAAAAACAGTTTTACCCTCCCTGATGCAGCAAACCTAAGTACTTGTTAAACTAATTCTATTTAAATCGGGAATAAATGTTATATTTTTAAGTAGACATTTCAGTGTAAATGAAATCAGTCAAATGGAAATTCGCTTAGTCTGCAGGTTTGCTGCGGCGGGGGTATTTACAATAATTTAAAGTGCAGCAATCCTAATCCCCATCATAGATTGACCAACATTCTACCAACGAGCAATACAGGTCTGTTGCTTTGGGTTTTTGGTTTTAAACTCTTGAGTCACAATGTCTTTTTTGCCTGAACAATTATTCTACAATTCAAAATCCTAGCATTTCTTTGAACAAAATAAAATCATGTTGAAGAATATGATCCAAATGTAATTCCTGATGATACTATAGTATTACACTGTTCAAATATAAGAATATGTGAAAAACAATCCCAGGCTCGTGCCTAGTGTCCTAGGACAAAAAAAATAATATATATATAAGAATATGTAGAATTTGTCTTACAACACACACCTTTCATAGGACGATGGAAACACCTTAAGCTTGACATTACCACTTTTGTTTGGCAACACAGTAGCAATAAGTAGCACTACTACAAGTGGTTGGATCAAGGATGATGGAAAAGCTGAGTTGCAACACTTGTGAACCGACCTACAATCCAGCTGGTTAACTGTGTGAACATTCTGCCAACCATCTGCAACCAGCAACCATTCAACCTCAACCATACAACTACAGCCAGGCTTGGATTGGATATTAACATTGAATGCCCTCAACATTTGATGTTGCACAGTTCAGTGTGATAACACACGGTACACACCTTAGGTTTCATTGTGTACTTTGGAAAGCAAATTTCGTTTTTGAATACCTAGTAGATTTCATCAAGCGATGTTTGTATATTAATTATAAAAAGGGTTTTCTGATTAAATCATAACTAATATTGAAAATTGTGTCGTTGGGTGGAACTGGAAATATGTGCTACATGTAATTAAAGATATTTTGTTGCATGTAAGTCCAATCGATCCCTATTTTTAAATATTGTAAGTTTTAGTTGAAAGAGTAACTTTAGTTTAATTGAGATACTGAGATAGTGTGTGCTGTAGCAGTATTACCTTTACATACCCGAATCAACTATCCTATAGTACTGTATGATGACTCTCAAAGAAACCCAGACTTTGACTGAAGCACACACTGATTACTGAAAACGTCATATTTGATCAGAGGGCCAATGATAATAGCTTATAAGTAGGATAAAGGAAAATAAATGTCACAAGGCTGTAGTAATAAACAAAACAAAACAAAGAGGACCCTATTCTATTCTAAGCTCAGAGCAGAGTCCAGAGTAATAAAACATAATGTATTATTACTTTGAGTTTTCAAGCAACATACACATAACGACAAATCGATATTTAAAATAGCAAAAAGTCGCGCCAATAACATCGGACCATTGAACCTCAGCCTAGACGCTCGCCAGACAGAGGCAAGGTCGCCAGATCCGGTCTGCCAAGGCCACTTCCGCCCAGCTGATTGGCGGTTCCGTTACAGATCAAGTGACCAAACAGCTGACTTGTGGCTCCGCTACAGCTGATCGTAAGGTCGGACCAGGCAGACGGCAGACATTTTTTGGAGGGTTCTGATCACGCAACTCTTTTAATTATTCGGGTTTTCTCGACGATTTGCACTTATGCAACTGTTTCATCATGCATGAAGACGAGTCGAGGTAATGATAGAGGAGGTGAATATTGTTGACACGGATTTGCACGCCAATATTGAAGTGTTGGTTTCGGTTTGGCAAGAGATGAGAGTGCTGCTGAGGCATACAAGGATAAGTCTTCTTTTACCCGAATATAGGATATTGACATTAGGATATAAGTTAGGGGACTTCTGTTGAGTTTGAAGTCTACAATTTTTTTAGAGTTTAATATAGCATCTTGAACAAAAGAAACTTCATTGAAAGATTTTGTTTTAACTTATGACTTTTTCATTTGAAGCAAGTCCTTTGATCAATTGGTTATAGCGAGCTCAGAAACGTAAAGGCGAATTAATACGCTGAAACAATGTAAAGATGTTAAAACGTAGTCTATAATTTTCCAACCAAAATCCCAAATTTGAAACATGATAAAGCAATTTAGACTATGAAATTAAATAACTTTGCAATCAAATTGTAGCTTATTTTAGTAAATGTGAGATTTAGAACCTGTCTGGTGACATTTTGATAAACTTGAGATGTTTGAGTGGTGAGTGGGCAGGCAGCCAAATACATTTTGAATATACACGATGAATTTCTGGCTTTAGTAACAAATATGCCTCAAAAATGTTTCTTGTTAGGTGAGTTTTTATATAACAGCATTAGGTCTAATAGGCTCAACCAAGTTCTTCAAGACCTAAAGGAATTTCAAGAATCTCAGTGCTAGAAATCCATCATAGTGTTCAGTGTGAAATCAATATTAAAATTACAATCCATTAAATTTGCATCACATCTAAGTACGGAAATATAATGCTTCGAGATCCAATTAAAATGAAGGGTATGATCAATGTAAAACTTGTTTGGCAACTCTCCTTCACCTATTCACAAATTCATTTGTAAATATTCACGTTGAACTAAAGAAAAGTTGATATATGCATTTCTATATTTTGAAAATCTCCAGACTCGGGATTCGCTAGAGGATTTACCTGAGATTTTTCACATGAATGAAATGGACCGCCGGCATGAAACCTAAGAGTAACAAATGATACTGCGCGAGAGCGGAAGTGTTAAAATGAGAGCGAGAGGACATCAAGTCATGAAGAAGATAAATCAAGAGGAACAATAGAGAAGAGGGCATTAAATGGTGATTGTGCAAAGTGCCAAACCTCTTTGCCAAGGCTAAGCGCTGCCTGATGTCCTAATGCAGCTTTCTTCGTCGTTGTTTTTGCACGAACATGTCTCGTCTCGTCACATCTGTTCCAGGACATTCATCAAGGAAGCTGATGAAGAAGCATTTTTCATGGTAAATTGCTCTGTCTTTAGATATGCTTTGTCAAGAGAGTTAGAATTTCTGTTGAAAATGAAAACTACTTTTCACGATGTCATTTAAAGGTGTGAACATACAATGATATTAAATGAATATTCTTGCTATGAAGATTTGAATTAACAAAAAAGTGCTTGAATGTATGCCATTGAATTTTAGACAGCTTAGACACAGTTTAACCTGCAGAGAAGATCAAATGCAGCATTTTTATTTAAATATAAACCTAAGCATTGTTGCATGTGTGTTTATAATCAATAACGTAATACATTATTTTCATCGTCAAGCTTTCTAGGTTAGTGTGACTTTAAAGGGGCCTACATAGTAGTATGTTGAGTTCATTTCTACCTCATAATTTCAAAATAAATTGACAGAAATATTTATATTTATCGCGATTGAACGATTTTTCGCCAGATCAAGCCAGGTTTTGGCATGGCAGATTTTATGTCAGATGTTAGCTTTCTTATTTTAGACAGGGACAGCACTCTACTCTTAAAATCTTCTGTTGAATCGTGCTGCTTGCTATACACTAACCATAGAAGAAGACTTAAGCCAAAAAATTATTCCAGCGCCTAAATGCATTTGCATAATCAATGTTAGCAAACGGGTTGAACAATTTTATTTGATAGTCCTATTCCTCGTAGCACGGAATACAGAAAATTCCTCCTTACATTTCTCTCTTTCTTTATCCTGATCTGAAATCGATGTTAAGTTACCAATTTTAATTAAATGACCGATCTTGAAATCTTCAACTATATTCCTCTCACAGTTCAATAGCGATCTCACACAGTTCTCACAATTAACTGGCGATTGGTCCCACCCGGTAAGCAGTAAGCACTCTTGGACGTAGGGAAAGCTGCACAACGCCTTGTTACATCTACGATCACCATCAAGGGTAACCAAGTAGCGATTACCGGATACTGCGATTACTACAATTACAGTACATCAGTGTTCGTGTGTGGCCGTGTGTAGAACCGGATAATTTACACTTACTATTCACAAGAGAGTGAAGACTACGTTGGTCAAGCTTGGTGCACTCAAGGAATTTTTCAACGAGACTTGGTTGTTACCATTATGCTGTACTGTTTGGTGAATTTGAGATAATGTTTTTAATCATAATTTTGACAATTAACAGAGGTGATTGGTACGTTATGTTTTTTGTTTGGCATTTTAAATCGACTCTTCATTTGGTCATGTTTTAGGGTCCTCGCCGCCGGGGCTGTATTCTATGGCCCCGCCTCACCACTGGGGTCAGATTCTAAAATCGGAAACAACGCGAACTAACTAACTGTCCAATTCCCT